GTTAACAAATGATGAGGTTTGACAAATTTAGATCCTTCTGTCTCATAAATATGACATAATAGGGAGGAAAGAAAGCCTAAAAAGCAGTATTATATACCAGTGTACACACACACACACACACACACACACACACACACAGAGTATGCATACACATACACAAAGAGAGTTTTTAGGAAGAATGTTCGATTTGGATAACAAGAAACAAGTGATGTTGGGATTACTATAAATAGCTAATTTTTAATTCTTAGACATACAATGCTAGGCTTGCTCTATCTAATGCTTTTTAACGTGATCAGCTGGGCACTTTTCACTTTGAACCTCAATTTCACATACAACTAGATGACTTATACAACTATTTTTCCAAATCTAATGGAGGTTGGTGATTAGGATAGACTTCTGTAAAAACAAAACCAAACCTAAACAAAAAGCTGACAAGGTTTTCTTACAACTGTACCACTTCAAATGTTGTATAGTTGAGGTCACTTTTTAAAAGGGGAGAGAAGTACCATGTGTTTGTGTACATATTTACTCCAAGATGAGACTCTATATCTCATACAAGGTCTTTGTGGCAGAAACTGTGGGAATTTAATTGTTTCCTGAGTTACAAGCAGGAGGGCCATGTTTTTTGTACAGAGAGCCTGCAATGGCCTTGTGAAGTCAGCAAATCAAGGAAGTGGGCAAGATTTGTGGCAGAGACTAAACCAGGGATATGGATGTTGTCCAGCAGCTTACTTACCCTTGAATCCTACTGTCAACCATGGCAACTTTTTCTTTCTAACCTTAAATAATGATATCAGTACTATTTATGAGGCTATTTTAAAATGTTCTAAGTATCTTATACACATCAACTCATTATATTCATGACACTTGTAGAAGGTATAAACAAGTTAAACCATTTAATCTTCTGTCTCATTTTACAAATGAGATTGAAGCACAAAGAAATTTAGTATTTAGCTTAAATGTATATATCTTTTAGGTAGCAGAGTTGGCTCAGAGCCACTATTTTTGGCCTGTATTAGACTTATGTCAGATATTTTAGAAAGGTGTTGACTTAAAACCTTGTAGTCACATGGAACTGGTAAGTGGGAACTACACTGATGACACAAAATGAGGATTCAAGACGGGGGCCAGAGGAAAGGCCATAAAGACTTGGCTTTGCTTCTGATACACAAAATAAACTGCAAATGGCTACTACTGAATGAGAGAAGCATTTATGAGCTTAACATCATAATGGAGGATTCCTCCCTTGAACTGCTGCTGGCGTCAACAAGAGAAATAAGATAATCTGAGGCTAAAGTGATTCTGAAGATCTCAAATCATAACAGAACAGTGGGCAAAGCCCTGGGGACATCTTTGTGGGATAGTGCATCATCTGAAATCCTCATTCTTTTTTTGGAATTTGGATAAGTTAGCCACAAAAGGAGTCAGCCCACAACATTTACTGAGTGCCTTTTTCATGCGGTACCCCCTTTGAGTTCCTAGTTGTGAATGTATAATAATTACTGTATTGATTTAATGTTTGCAAGACTGAGGTCTCAAGAAGACAGGTGGTTCTGTAAATTCTAGATACTATCAACAATGAAGAAAGCAACTGGCAGAATGACAAATCACCACTACCAAATTCCATCACGGAGTTTTAGGAGTGATTAGATTTGTGGTATTAAAGAAGTTATTTAAGTACAACTGTGGTTTTAGGCTCCCAGGACTCCTTCTAAACCATAATATTAAAGTGGAGCCTCTCCCTATGCTAGTTCTAGCCATGGCTCCTGTTCCCAACTTCTGCACATCGAGGCAGGAAAGCGAACATTCATATATACATGAGCCCCAAATCTGTGTAAACAAACTCAACCTTTATAAATGGGTCTTATTTCATTTTTAAGGGGCTTTACACAGCAAAATCTGATCCAAATTCTTCATCAGTGATTATCCATCATTCTCAATTGCTTTCCTCTTGTGTTTCACCTTTTGAGCACCACCATTCTCTCAATTAAGTCCTATATCCTTTTGATTACTAGTGTATACATTTTAAAAACAACGAATGTAAATATTCCTAGGGTCCATAAAATGCTAGTTAGCTAAGAATTTATATTGTTTCCATTAAGAGGCTAAAAGGAGATCTTGTTCAAAATGTACTTTGTCAATATGTCTTTCACTTCAACAGATAGTTTCTACCTTAAGTAAATTTCAAACTTTTCAGGCCACATCAGCTTTTCTACTTGATAGTTTTCAGAGGTCAGTAAATAGTGAGCACAATTGTTGTGTAGAAACTGAATTTTAGTAGGGAAAAACAGATGCTTACTCTTTAGCAAGTCAATAAAAAACATGTTCTGGCTTCTCATTATACACTTAAAAATGCAGTGTTTGCTTAAAAAAAGCAAAGATGCAGACAAGGTTAAACATTAAAATCTAGTAATTTTTTTTTTAGTACACTGTATCTTAATAATAGTGAATTTCTACTTTTTAATAAAGGCTTAGGATTTCAGAAAGGTAAAGAAAACTGAGTTATTGCCAACAATCCACCCCAAATGACTGAGTTGACTACATTTTAATATAACTAAAAGTTACTATTTTTCTTTGTTCTCAGTTTTTATTTATTTATTTATTTTTTTTGAGACAGGGTCTCACTATGCAGTTCAGGCTGATCTTGAGCTCACTTTGTAGCCCCGGCTGGTCTCAAACTCGCAGAAATCCTCCTGCCTCAGCCTTCCGAGTGCTGGGATTACAGGCATGCACCACCATGCCCGGCTGTTTTCAGTTTTTAAATAGTAGGTAACTGTTGTTTACTTTTAGCTTATATTCTCTATGCCTGAGCAAACACCAACTCACAGATCTTTATTGGTTAACGTCATCATGAAGGCTGCCAAAGAGGACAGAGATTGAAATAACGCAGAATTACAGGTTTGTAAAAGGGATGACATTAAACACTGTTCAGAAATGACTTCATATGTTTTCATAGCTTACTTGTAAATACACAGAATGACCTTATTTACATTTTATAGATGAAAAAACTAAAAAAAAAGTATACTCAACATTTACTAAAAATCTGTAACAGAAGATGCACAATGCCTCTTCTGAAGAGATGGGTTTGTGGAGATGGAATCTGAGTTGAGCCTTAATGGACTGTGTTTTACAGACAAAGTGGTAGGGTGGCAGATCTGACAGTATGAACAAAGAAACAGAAAGGATATAGGATGATTATTTAAATTATTGTGGTGGCTGCCCATTGGAATACAAGGGTTAAAACCCCTAATAAGGCAACTCTGGTTAAAGACATCCCACTCTGGTAGATAGCAACCTTTTAATGTAAGCCCCATCCACTCCTCCAAGTGAGCCCTGAGTCATCTTGCTAGAAGATATGTATAAATCTCCTCATCGCCTCCTTATCTAAAGCTAAATAACCTCTGTAAGCCAGAGGCAATGATCCTGTCAAAGCTGCAACTGGAAACATGTAATTTTGAACACAAGTGCTCCTAAAGATCTGCTGGGTGCTGTATGACCCAGAAAACACATTCGCTGGATAATCTGCTGTCTAAACCCTTATTTTAAAAAAATCCCAATCTCTCACCCTGACTGTGCGATTTCCTCTTCTGAGAACTCATCTGTCTGTGCCCCTGTGCAGTTTACTTAAATCTATGTCTTTTCTACGTTTCTTGTCTACTGGTAATAGTCACCGGCCTTCTTTTGATATCTCCCAAGGCAGTTATGGCATAGGATTCGAGGCAGGGCAGTACCGAGGGAGAGACAAAGTGTTCTGGGACTCTGCAGCTGTCCTTGCATGCAGCTCTGGTAGTAACGTGTAAGAGCGGAAGGGGGCCTGGAAATCACATAGGACATTCCAGTCGGTCACAAGGAAGGTAATGAAGGCTCAGAAGTGGGAGTCGAAAGTAAGCGTGATTTGAAAGACTGCAGAAGTAGAGAGGTCAGTCAGAGCGGTAAGAAAGGAGGTGACAGAAGTCAAGAAAGAAAATCTGCAGAGCTGAACGTAGCGGAAAGGAACGAGTACAGTCTACAGCGTACTCACAGAGCAGCACATCCAATCTCTTTGATTCCCCACCTACCCACTGAATTACCACCACAGAAAGCAAAGTGCTTTTCCAAAGGGAAACTATTGATTATTTTATCAATAGTTAACCCGGGAATCAATCACCACAAACTTCAAGTTCCAACCTCCTTCCCCGTTTTTTTTTTTTTTTTTAAGAGCTTGTGCGGTTCCAGAGCTTTTCAGGTAACCACTAGTGATGTCCTACAGCTTTCGCGCCCGCCGCCGTCTCTGCGGCTCAGGGATCACATTCAAGGGCGGCCGAATGGGAGAATGGGTGGAACGCGGTCCAGCAGCGCGGACGCGGGTTTGTTAACCAACTTCTCTAGGCTGCGGTTTCCTCACCGGCGCAGGGCTCGGGGCGGTACTTACCTGTCAGAGACGACCGGCTTGCAAATAACACTCTCAGCGCGACGACATCAAAGGTTTTCGTGTTTCCTAACGTCCCCGAGGGCAGAGGGCTACTCCACGCTGTCGTCTAAGGCTGTCGAGCCCCGCCGGGAGACGCCGCAGGAAGAGAGATGAGCAGGAAACCCGGCTGCTCCGGAACGCGGAGAGCCGCAGAGCGCCGGGCAGAGGCGAGCGCCCGGAAGCCGCCGCCGCGCTCAGGCGACCCCGCGCGCCAGGACGCCGCGCGCCACCCAGGGCGGAAATCCCGCGCGGAGGCTGCGAGCGCTTGCGGGGACGCCGGGAGCCAGCGGGGCACGCTGGGACTGGTAGTCCCCGGGTGGGTCTCCGCCGTCCGAGGCGAGGCGAAGCGACAGGCCCTGCCCCGTCCCGCCTTCTGAGCGCGCCGCGCTTCTCCCGGCCAGTACCGTTGCCCGTGGCCCGTGCCGGCCCCGCCCCACCACGGCCTCCATTGGTCCCGAGGCTCCACGACTCCGCTCTGCCCGGAAGTAGCGTTGGGGGAGGCGGTTTCCTAGACTACGACACAGGAAAGCTGGGGGAGGTGCTCCGGGTTGCCGAGGGCGGAGGGCGGTGGCAGCGCTGGCGCTGGGGACCGGCTCGGTGGCTTCGGCAAACAGTTTGACGCTGGCAGCTGCCCGCCTCACTCCACACCCAGTCCTCGTCACGGCTTGCAGCCCCCTGGCCACCGGCGTCCGGCAATGTGTCCCGCCGACCGGGCGTAGCAGCTGCGCGTGCGTGGAACCGCGGGGCCATGAGCGAAGCCGGCGGCGGCCTGGGCTGTGGGTCCCCGGTTCCCCAGCGAGGGCCATGGAGCCTGGTGGCCGCCACAGCCGCGCTCTGCCTGGTGTCAGCCACGTCTGTGTGGACGGCGGGGGCCGCACCCATGAGTAGGGAGGAGAAACAGAAGCTTGGGTAAGGGTGCCTGGCAGTCTGGGAGGGTTTCCTGGTGGGAGCGACCACGGGCGAGGTGCCTGTCATTGCACCCCGGGAGCAGAGTGGCGTCTCCACTCGCGATCGCAGCAGCTGCTCCTGAGCTCCGATCTTGGCGGGTGGGCAGGGTCCGGGAAGGTGGGGGTCTGTCCCCGCGTCGCTGTGGGGGTCGGTGACAGGTGCGAGTTCCTTGAGGCCAGCTCGGTGTGTCATCGCTGCTGTCATGTCAGTGGCCCGCGAAGGGGGCTACAGCCAGCGCAGCCCCGCGCGAAAGTGCAGCGGCTGCCCTTCCGACCGAGGCATGGTTAGGTTTCTCGCGCAAGTGGGCTGCCAGATGGAGAAATGTTGCTGGCCTCACATAATTCAGGAAGTGGGGTTTACACTTGTTAGGGTAGAGGGGCGTTCACTGGAACTTGAACTTTACAAATTTTATCCTTTCCTTGCAGTGTTTTCTTGTACTGACTTTTCATAGTAGGAGAGGCTATTTGGTGGTATTATTCAAAAGCCATAATTAAGTGTATCTACTTATTTTACACGCAGTAGTTTTAACAGTCCTGAGAGGGTCGTAAAACTCTGCTATATTTACAGCATTTAATTCAGAGTCAGTAATACTAATATGCACGAGGCCCCGGAAAGGAATAAAAGCTGAGAATCAATAGCAAGTGGGCAAAAGCATGATCAGTTAAGTCAGAGAAGAGGAAATGAGACAAACATGAAAAAGTTACTCAACCTGGTCAATGTGAGAAATGCAAATTAAAACGAGATAGTTGCTTTTGCCCATTAGATTAGTACATAAATGCAAAACTCAGGGATACAGTCTTGGCTACTTAAGGCATGAAAAAAAATCTTTCTGGGAATGTAAATTAATATAACTTTTCGACAGTATTTCCTGAAATTTAAATCACACATGCTTCTTGATTCATCACTCCTGTCTCTGGGAGTCTACCCAACAGAAATATAAGCACTGTTAGTGTAGAGATAGATGTACAAAGCTGTGTATTTTGAAGGAACAGAACTGTTCCTAGGAGAGAAAAGATTGTGGTGCATCCTTTTTATGGGCTAATATTCATGCATTAAGATGGAGGTATGTCATTAGAAGGCTACCCAGGGTATATTTCCAATACCAAAAAAAAAAAAAAAAAAAGCAAGTTGTAGAATAGTATATATAGTGTCATACCATGTTGTTTTTTTGTAAAGAAGAAATACTGTCTAAGCTTGGAAAATAAAAAGATAATGTATGTCGTGGTGTTAGAATGAAAGGGAGGCGAAACAGTCAGATTTTAATTTATATGCTTCTTTAAGTCCTTGTTTTTTGAGACAGGGTCTCCCTATGTAGTTCAGGCTGGCCTTAAAGTCACTATGTAGCCCGGGCTGGCTTCAAACTCCCAGTAATCCTCAGACTTCTGACAGCTGGGATTACAGGTCTGTGCCACCATGCCTGGTTTATATGCTTCTTTAAATCATTGTAAGAATCTTTGAATCAATTTTTAAATAAAATTGCAAAAAAGGATGCTTTAATGGAAGGTGGAGTATTAATTATCAAAACAATTACCAGTAAGCTCTGTTAAATATCCTAAATGCTCTCTTATGAATTCAAGGTATCTTTTTTTTTTTTTTTTTTTACTGAATATGTTACTCTTTGAGTACTTTACAGCATATGTAAAGTAGTATTTCATCATCTCTGTAATTCTCCCTGTTCATACAATGGGTGGGATATCCATTTTGAAAAAATGTGAGATTTAAGGTTGATTTGTTGGGAATCACAAAGCTAGTAACTGATGGAGCTGTTTTTCAAATATAGGACTGTCTAACTCCAGAGTTCATGCTCCTCCACTGTGCTGCATTTCTTAAGAGTTGGAAAAGAAATATCAGCGTTTCACAGGCCTGGGATTACAGGCATGATCACCACGCCTACCATAGAATTAGTTTTTAACTGGAAAAACCCAACCAAATTGACCTGAGATTTCAGCTTACATTTTTTTTTTTTTTTTTTTGGTTTTTCTCCGGTACCGGGAACCGAACTCACGACCTTGCGCTTGCCAAGCAGGCGCTTTTTGCCGCTGAGCTAAATCCCCAGCCCCTCAGCTTACATTTTGAGATCAGTTTGCAAAAGAGAAATTACAATTATTTAGGCTTGTTATTTTAGATTGCCCTCCTGTAGAGTAAGGGCAAAGAGTCTAGCACAAACCACAAATATACAATTATATGACTGCTTTCTCCTTTGGAAATTTTCAGAAAACTGGATTCTGATTCACTAGGTTTATCGCTGTCATTTTTAAGCAAGCTCAAATAATGATGTGTGATAAAACACGGAAATTGTCACACCCCTTTCTCTACACCCCTAAACCAAACAGATTAAAAAAAAAAGAGTTGACGAGTAGTTGCTCAATTGTTTGCCATTTGTGAGCTGTGGACTATCCACCTAATCACACTTAGTCTTATCCTTCAGGGAATATATGGGTTTTATTATCTTTATTTAAAAATGAGTGTAAAGCAATCCAGTTACTGTAGAGTTGGCAGGCAACGTAACCTTAGAAAAAGCCAACTTACGGAAATTATTGAAAACAAAGACAGACAAACTTTTAAAATTTTCTCTTTTTTTTGGTTTATTTCCTGTACCAGGAATCGAACTCATGACCTTGTGCTTGCCAGGCAGGCGCTGTGCCGCTGAGCTAAATCCCCAGCCCCTAAATTTTCTTATAGCACTCAAGCTCCTGAATATGAGAACGTTTCACAGACAGACTGATTTTTTAGTTCCACATTTACAGGATTTTTAGTCTGGTATGGGGATATGAAATACCCATTTTAAACAACCATCTTGGAGTGTCTAAGAAATAGATAAACCAAACCACATACATTTCTTTTTGAGCCTTAGATTTCTCATGATAGAGCTAACTACTATTTTTGACAGTTTTTTTTGAGGGAGTGAACTATATCATAAAGTATATCTTTTAAGAGTATGGCAAACATTAATAAATATGTACTTAACTAGGCATTCGTGGTTTTATTCAGTTTAATAGGAAAGGCAGAGCCTTGATAAAATACTGCTTCCTGTTTCAATCATCCCATTCCTCTCTTTTAGTAGAACATATAGGATAATCAATAAATGCTACTAATAATTATTTCCTTTGGTGGGTCTCTAGCAGTATTTCCCCTTCAAGACATATGTTAAATAATTATGTTGAGAGGTATGGTAATTGTTTTTCAGCATCAATTTTCCTTTCCTTTGATTGTGCAGGTATCATTCAACAGATTTTTTAAGAAAAGTGTAAAGTGAGTTTCATATAATTGGCTGTGAATTGTAAAAGTTTGTCCCAGCTCTGTGTGAGTTCATGAATTTGTCTATTAAGTGGTGTATTTCCTGACTCTGTTATGTCCCTTTTAAACTAAACATTTCCTTTTTTTATTGGTATGTTTTTGAGGAAAAATTAGCTTTTTGAAACAATTAGTAAGATGCGATTTTCTCCATTTCTCTTTTTTCAAAATTAGGAATCAAGTACTGGAAATGTTTGATCATGCTTATGGGAACTACATGGTAAGTAGTAAGCTTATCTTTATGTACCATTTATATGAATTGATTATTATGTGAGCGGCATCAACTGGAAAATGTGAAACCTGAATTTCCAGCACGTTTTTTTTTAAAGGAAAGTTTTTAAAAAGCTTGGCAAATGGAACCAAAGCTTTTGTAAAAAGAAGGGGAAGAGGACTTGAAGGGAGGGAAGACGATTGGAGAACAAGGAATCAAGATATGTAGAGGTATAAATTCCCTATGATGAATGTGATCATTATGTACATCTAAAATGTACTAATAAAATGAATTTAAAAAAGCAAATGACTGTTAAAGAAAATCAGGGAAAAATAAGTTGACAGAGTATTCATGCTAGTGGTTTTCAGGGAGCCAACTTATTGAATAGGTAGGAATACATTGAAATTAGATTATAAAATACTGTATTTAAAGTATTCCCTTGGGCACTGTTAACAACATTCATTGAGTGCTTTATATAGCTAGATATTGTGAATTTAAAAATGAAAAAGATATTATCTTGGTGTTAGGGAAAATTCCCTTCATTTAAAGGAAATTATAATATTATTTTGTGTACTCCATGAAGAAAATCTGTGCTTAAAAAAAGATAAACTGTCATCTATCTGTTCTTACATGTTTTAGAGCTCCTTTATTGATGAAACAGCACTTTCAGTTTTATGAGATAAGATGTTTGGGAGATCTGTCATACAAAAATGTAGATGAAATAGCAAACATTTTAGTCTAAAAGAAAGTTTTGCATATAAGTTTGTGTAAGTTTGGAAATAGTTCAATCAGATATTCCTGAGAATTACTTCTTACAGTCTTCTGACTTTTTGTTTTGTTTTTTCTTTTTTTTCCAGTACTGGGGATTGAACCCAGGGCTTTATACTAAGCTATGATCTCAGTCTCCCCACCCCCCATTTTAAAATTTGAGGTGGGCCTTGAGTCTCATTAAGTTACGCAGGCGGGCTTTGAATTTAGGATCCTTCTGCTTCAGCCTCCCAGAGTGCTGGGATTACAAGTGTGCACTGCTAAGACCAGCTATAATGTTGTTTTTACATTTTAAAATATATCAGCAGATTTTCTTCTATGATTACAGCCTATAAAATATAATTGGTAAAAGTTTGGCAGAGAGCTGACTTTAATTCTGCTTTAAATATTTTTCAGCCCGTTCTTTGAATCTATTTTCATTATATACTAACCAAATATTTTCATGTATTACCATCATTATTTATGAACATCTAAGTATACTTTGTGCATTTCTGTATTTTTAAACATTTTGTGTATGATAATACTTGTTTGGCAAGGGCACGTTTTAATTTCATAATGCTTTTAGAATATGATTTTGATGAAGTTTTGAGTATAAATATATTGAAAATGCAGTTCCAAATTCATTTTTCAAGACTTCAGCCATTGCATTTCAAAATAACTCATCCCTAGCTAATTCAGTTTGTGCAAAGCATAACTTAACAAATCTAGGGTAATGGTTTTAAGATGGCAAGTGGATTCATGATTACTGCATACTTTTTGTTCCAGTGTTAAAATAATATACAGCTGGGGGGCTGGGGGTTTAGCTCAGCGGCAAAGCGTCTGCCTGGCAAGTGCAAGGTCGTGAGTTCGGTTCCCGGTACCGGAGAAAAACCAAAAAAAAAACCAATAATAATAATATACAGCTGGACAAGTTCAGCACATCTTGCTACAAATAGAAGTCTCTCTTTAAAGAGCATAGTATCTTTAATATCTTGTCCCTTTTAGGTAAGCAGTAGAATGTTTTATCAATACTTGTTTTTCCTACGATAGATATACTTAATGGTTTTGTGACAGGTCAGGTACTGATAACAGCTACCAGATGACTTTCTTGCCCCATTCCCATTGCACCCTGCTGGGTAACTTTTTTGCTATTCCTAACTACTTAAAAGATCTAAGTGAGAGTCTGGGCAAGGTGGTACACTTGAGAGAGATTTCAACTCCAAAGACTGGGAACTTCTGTTGCAAGTAACAGCCTTTTTCTTTGTTTCCAATGGGGTCATACCCATCTGTAGGCCACTGCAGTGCATATTTTCAAATGTTCAACTATTGTATAACATGTGTGACCCTTGTGATATACTTGTGCTATACACTACATGGAGTCTGCAACCCAAGATTTAGTTTACAATTTATGCTTCCCCTTTTAAAGTTCTCAGTGAACAACACAGTTCTAAAATATTAAAGAGAATTCAAACACATTTTATTTGAAGTTAGTTGAAAAAGAAACACTATTACTTTACTATAAAGTGTATAGGTTTTATAGCTGGGTGACTTTGAGTTTAAATCTTGTCTCGGGTATTTATTAGCTTGGATTGTAAACAGGTCACTTAGCCCTTTTGAATGGTGTCTTAGCAAGGTTAAATGGGGATATTTATAAAGGATTATAAGATTTTTTTAGGACAGAAACTTTTTTAAAATTTTTGATGTTTAATAAATTCATCTTGTATATGTCCTATGCTTAATTTTGTGTGTGGAACATAACTGCTTATTAAATTTTTTTGAAGGAACTAAATTGAATTTTTAATGATACTATAATCAGATGTTTACTTTTTTGCATGTGTTTATGTGATGTATCATCGCCTTTTAAACTCAAAGAAATAATTTAACAGACTTCATTAAAAAACACAAGATTGTAGTGAATTTCAGGGTCAGTAAATCTCCTTACTTTGTTGTAGTCGGTTATTTACTAAAATGTAAAGTGCCTGGTACATGGTGGCTTTTAGTAAATGTTGAAAGCTTTTCTTCATTTCTCACTAGTTCTTTCTAATATTATTCTCCAATTGAGTCTACCATTAGGGCAATTTCTTTAAACTTCTTGGTTCCAAGAAGAGCAGTGGCATTTTCCAGAGACAGGTAATATAATTAAGAGCAAGAACTCTGGGCTTGGAGTAGGATAGGCTAAGGTGTTTCTGCCTTCTGTTAGCTGGGTTACAATGGGAAAGCTACCTCATCTTCCTGAGTCTGTTCCCTCATTTCTGTAAGATGGAGACAGTTGTTTGCCTGCCTTAAAATGTTGTGTTTAGAGTTAGTGTCTGGCAGATAGGAAGCACTGTGTAAGAGTTTACTACTTCTGCTGCAGCTACTAACTACTGCTATCATTACTATGTGTTCTCTGCCCAAGATTGAACTTCTTTTGCTAAAATTCTTTTAGGCTTTCACTTAGAACTTGTTCCCCAGATTTTACAGAAATCACATTTCTTAAATGTACATGTTCTTTCCTGGTTTGGGCATGTGATTTTTGAGCTTATTTTTTCTTTCTTTTGATGAAAGAAAAAGTTCTCATCATGCTATTTCTTCTTCCTTCCTTCCTTCCTTCCTTCCTTCGTGTTTTTTTGAGACAGGGTCTTGCTATGCAGTTCAGGCTGGTCTTGAGCTCACTTTGTAGCTCAGGCTGGCCTTGAACTCACAACGATCCTCTTGCCTCAGCCTTCTGAGTGCTGGGATTACAGGTGTGTGCTACCAAGCCTGGCTCATCATGCTATTTCTTAATAAAAATGTCCTGCCAGGACTGGAATTATTTTTTTATTTTTTTATATTTTGGTTTTTCTCCGGTACCGGGAACCAAACTCACGACCTTGCGCTTGCCAGGCAGGCGCTTTTGCCGCTGAGCTAAATCCCCAGCCCCAGGACTGGAATTATATTCAAGGATTTTCTGATGTTATAAATTATTGGCTTTACTATTAATATTATAATGATTGTTATATCTCACAGCCTGATGACATTGTAGTTTATCCATAATAAATTGTCCAAATAACATGAAATTTGATGTTTATTTTGCAGTTCTTGTAATTTTAGAACTTAACTCTGGACTACTATCACTCAAGGGCTTCTAGTGACCGGTTTTGAGTATTTATGCAGAGTTCCGTTTGTAGATTGATTTAGATGACAAAGTGAATTGTGTTTGGGCCAAAAGTAGAACTTTCTTGGACCCAAGCTTGCTCATAGGATGTTTGTCTCCTCTTGTTTTTCCTGATTAGTGTAGACAACTCAGTTAAACATACTTTAAGCAAAAACTGTACTTTATTAGAGTCTTAAACACTACAAATAGACTTGAAAAGCGTTGGTAAGCACAATTTCCTGTAACTAGTAAAATCATCCTAATACTGTAACTGCTTTTAACTTCGATTTCATACAATAGGTTAGTCTTTATAATTAAGCCAAAGGAACTATTTTAAATTGTAACTTCCCAAGGATTTCCAGGTTTACATACATTTTCTTAGTAATACTTCTTTTTTCGGTTTCTTTAAATTTTTTTACTGGACAAGTATATATAATACAAAATTTACCATTTTAACCTCTTTTGAGTGTACAGTTCTGTGGCATTAAGTACATTTGCATTGTTTTATATCCATCTGTAGACCTTCTTCATCTTCTCCAGCTGAAACTCTGTACCTCATGTTTCTTTTTAATTGTTCATCAAAAAAGTGCAACCTGTAAACGAACTATTTTAGAAGTGATTCTAATGGAGCAAATGAAAATCTATATTATCTCTTTTTACGTAGGTCATTGTGGGCCAGTTAGTCATTGTTCCTTGGCTTCTACTTTTACAGCATCCCAGAACCCTACCAAACTTATGCAAGAAATTCTGTCATATCTTCTCATAATGTTTTATAGTCACACTGTTACTCCAAATACGATTTGGAGATCAGTAGAACAAAGCTTTTTGTTTAATTAAAGTGACTGAGATATAATTTTTTTTTTTTTTTTTTTTTGGTTTTTCTCCGGTACCGGGAACCGAACTCACGACCTTGCGCTTGCCAGGCAGGTGCTTTTGCCGCTGAGCTAAGTCCCCAGCCCCTGACTGAGATATAATTTATAAGCAATAAAATTCCAGTTTTAGGTGTACTATTCTAAGGTTGGATAATTGTATGCAGTTATTTAACAACCACCACAATGTAAAACCCTGCAAATTTTTCATCACTCCCAAATTTTCTTTTTTCTTTTTTTTTATTTATTTTTTTTGTTTTTTTTTCTGGTACTGGGAA